ATAGGGATACAGACTGTCACATAAGGCATGGTCAAATAAGGTTTAATAAAGACCTCATGAAACTTCATCTATTTTTAGAATCCAATTTAAAACCGATCTTTTTCAGAGAGTGTATATTACGTGTTTTTCCCACTTCCAGTTTCCACCCCAAACCAGAAGTACCAAAATACCACAATAAAAAAACTCTTCTCATAGTGTGGTAGTTTTGTCTGGACCAGAAGAAAAGTCCCAGACTTCTTGTGAGAAAGCCTTGCTCTCCAGGTCTCAGAAGGTGGTTTGAATAAAGTCTGGATGAGCATCCAAGATTTTGGGCATTCATCTGAACCTAGCTCAGCCTCTGAAGCATTTGAAGTTCGTCCTGTCCATAGTTACTATAAGAGCAAAGTATTATTACTACTTACACAACAGTTTTTATATGAACAAATGGCTTTGTCATACCTTCTAGCTAGGACCCTACCAAATTCATTATCCATTTTGGTCAATTTCATGGTCATAGGATTTTAAAAATTGTAAATTTCATGATTTTAGATATTTAAATCTGAAATTTCACAATGTTGTAATTGTAGGGGGCCTGACCCAAACGGGCGCTGTGCAGGAGTCACCAGGTTATTGTGGGAGGGGGGTTGCGGTACTGCTACCCTTACTTCTGCGCTGCTGCTGGCAGTGGTGCTGCCGTCAGAGCTGGGTGGCTGGAGAACAGCAGTTGCTGGCTGGGAGCCCAGCTCTGAAGGCAGAGCTGCCTCCAGCAGCAGTGCAGAAGTAAGGATAGCATGGTATGGTATTGCTACCCTTACTTCTGCACTGCTGCCTTCAGAGCTGGGCCCTCAGTCAGCAGCCACCGCTCTCTGGCCACCCAGCTCTGAAGGCAGTGCAGAAGTAAGGGTGGCAATGCTGTGACATCTCTAAAATAACCTTGCGACCCTCTGCAACTTCCTTTTGGGTCTGGATCCTCAATTTGAGAAACACTGGCCTCCCCTGTGAAATCTATATAGTATAGGGTAAAAGCACACAAAAGAGCAGAATTCATGGAGGGAGACCAGATTTCACAGTCCATGCTGTGTTTTGCATGGCTGTGAATTTGGTAGGGTCCTACTTATAGCACCTCTTGCACACGTTTTACTCTTGTGGTATACCCAATGATTAAACAAGAGGGAACTGGTATGCTACTGTAGTGCAGAATTGGGCTCTGTGCAGAGTAAGTACTGTATATACCAGGGGTCGGCAACCTTTCAGAAGTGGTGTGCCGAGTCTTCATTTATTCACTCTCATTTAAGGTTTCACGTGCCAGTAATACATTTTAACATTTTTAGAAGGTCTCTTTCTATAAGTCTCTGATATATAACTAAACTATTGTTGTATGTAAAGTAAATAATGTTTTTAAAATGTTTAAGAAGCGTCATTTAAAATTAAATTAAAATGCAGAGCCCCCGGGACCGGTGGCCAGGACTTGGGCAGTGTGAGTGCCACTGAAAATCAGCTCGCGTGCCGCCTTCGGCATGCATGCCATAGGTTGCCTACCCCTGGTATATATAGTAAATTAAGATCTGAAAATGTACCCTTTAAATTAAAGTAGAGTAAAATCTGTGCACCTACACTATGGCTAGGGAAAACCTGGCCAGACAGAATCACCAATACAATCATTTGGCTATACATATAACTCCAGCTACATGTTAATAAAAGGTCCAGTGGAAACCAACAAGCTTCCAGTTGTCATAAAAAAATATAGCCAGGAAATTAAAAATTGAACCCCACATTACAAGTTTTTTGCATGCCTACACCCACACATCTGTTCTTTTCTTTAACACCAACATTTGGAGATACTATATTTTGTTCACATATTCTGATTTTTAGCTATCTTGCCTTGTATGTTCATTTCTCTGTTTTCTACCTTGAGGGTACAGATCTGGATTTGAGAATAAACATGTTTTTACATTTTTACATCAGTGCATTATTTTCAGTTCCTGGTATCGTTTTTTGTGTAGTTCTTGACAGGTACACAACTGGAATACTAAAAACCACTAGCAAATATTTGTAGTGGAACTGGACAAATGATTTATTGTTAATAACATTCATTAAAAATTTAGCCTTTTTCTTGTTTGTGAACAGATCCATTTTAAAAAATATCTACTAGCTATTCACAATCATTTGATAAAGCGTTTATGTGAGTAAATTTCAAGCTATGGGCATTTGTTCACTTTGATTATTAACTATCCATAGCGTTTGACTTAACATAAGTCATGAGTTTTTGTGTCTGGTTCCTAATTGGACAACAGCAACTTTTTAATCAGAAGAGTAAATATTTTTCCTTTACATGTTAATGCCCTTGTTCATGTGAAAATATACATATCTGCGTAAAAAACAGCTATTCCACAAATACTTATATGAACTAAAACTTATTAATGTTGTTCCCTCTTCAATAAATCAATCATGCACTTTTGGTCTTATATTATGGAAAGCAACACAGAAAGCAAGCATGAACGTAAAATCAGCATGAAAGAGAATGCAGAGTGTTCTATCTCTGTACGATTCCCTCACCTTGAATCCCTGCCCCCTAACAAAGTCAGCTAGATTTTGTGGTGTTCTTTGCATTAAAAGCAACAAGAGCTTGTATTAAACAATTATATAATTTTTATTTAAGCATTAGGTAACGCAGACACTAGAGCCTACTGCAAGCTCCAGCCTGCTAGAGTCTGCTCTGCCCCTTGCAAAGGAGCCTGGGCTTCTGAGACTGAGCTCCAGTTCAAGTCACAATGTCTATTCAGCTATTTTTAGCTCCATAGCATGAGCCCTACAATTCCCGAGTCTGTCTATCCGGGCTCTGAGATTCCCTCAGTGACTAGACACACAGCAAAGTTAGTGACAGAGCCCAGAACTCAGACCCGTTAGTCTCTGGATCACTCAACCACTCCCTTTATATTTGTACACCTGTAAGTTAAACAATTGCAACTGTAATTAATTTAATGTCTCTTTTCTACAAAGAGGTTTGCCTTTGCCTAAATAAACCAAGTCCATTAGTGACAAACGCGAGAGGTCAAGAAGGTGTTGTAACTGTAAGCATGCAGGCTGTTGAGCATCTACAATAGGGCTGATTAACATCTGCATTTCACAAATTGTTTCTCGGTTTCGATAAGTGAGTTATTTCTAAATAGCTGTTCCAAAATATTTTCTGCTTCATATGCTGTACTACTGGGTATTCTGAGGTCATTTAATTTAAAAAACAACTTCATTGGAATTCACCCAAAAGTAAACTTGTTCTCACTTCTCATGAGGAACTTAATAAAACCAAAACCAGGATTTGCAGATAATTCGCAGTACTGTCCAAAGGACTGTTACCTCTCTTCAACCAAGTCATGCAAATAATTGCAAAGCAAACTTCCAGTTCTTATTAACCTTCTCAACAACTCTTTGAAACAGAGAGATTTATAAACCAGAGAGCTGCGTGTTAAAGGGTATTTGTCTAGGGTCGTGCTTAGTGGAATTAGATGCCATTACTTTTAGCTCTTTTATAGCCATAAACAGTAAAGCATCAGTAATGGCAGAGTGTTTACAAAGCCACAGTGAGTAATTTATAATTCAGTCCAATTCCCAGGGCAAAGGTGTAGTATGTGCGCTGCTGGTTGAAAGGTGTGGCTCGCCAGCTGCATGGCTGATGTGGCGAGGGAGGGCTTAGACCCACCTCTTTTGCCCGGCTCCCTCTTTGGGTTGATTTGCACCCCGAGAGCACAAGGAGGAAGAATTGCACTGGGGTCTCAGGTGAGGAGAGGGGAAAAAAGAGGAAAGCTTTTGCATCTTCCTCCTCCCTTGTGTATGTATCAGGTATAGGTACGGTAGGGTCCTTAGACTTCTGAGCAGACAGATCAATGACTAAATTGTTGTTCCATGAGAAAACAGGACTTGGGATGTTCTCACCAGTGCTCTAATGCTGTGCCCTAAACAGGATGCAGAAGAGCATTTACTGCTGACACATAGTGACAGTTACATGCTACAAACCACAGGTCTGATTCCACAGCACCTGCACAGGCAAAACTCCACTGACTTCCCAAAGGGACCTCTGACACTTTAAATGTCAGTGATCTTGGGTGAACTCCTGGCCCCAGTGAAGTGATGGGAGTTTTGCCATTTACTTCACTGGTGCCCGGATTCCACCCCTTAGCGTGACACATTTCAGGATGGTTACAGATTCTCATTTTTAGCACTGGGTTGTCACCGTAAATTTAAAACTGTTTTAGTTTCTCTGTCTATTCAGGTTGCAGAGCAATGACGGGCCAGCTCCTGCTCCCACTGAGGCTGCTAGGAGCTTTGCCATTGGCTTCAGTGGGAGCAGGAGTAGGCCCTGTACATAACAATCACATGGAACAAGAAAGAAACAAACAGCAGCGACAAATACAAGGCAATAGCTGGATACATTCTGTGACTAGGTGCCCCCGCCCCCCCAAAAATAAATACCGTGGGCCAAATGTTAACTTCCCTTTGGAGAGTGAGGCAAGGCCCTGGGAACTCTGTAAACATCAGTTCAGAGTTCGGCCTGTAGAGGAGGGCAGGAGATCCAAATCCCTGCCTCAGGGGCCTACAGGGGAAGGAACCTCCTGGCCCACAGAAGAGCTTTCTCCCTGGGTGATAGCTCTGCCTGGTCTCCCGTGGCAGCCTGGCTCTTGTGGGAGGAAGGGCGACATTGGGAGGCTGCATGGGACCAGTCCTGGAGAGAGAGCCCATGAGAGTTAATGGAATAGTGTAGAAGTTAATGGGAATGGATCGCAATGAGAGTTGTGAGTGCTCCTAAGGTGATAAGCACTTTGCAGGGTTTACCACAATGTACGTGAGACTAATGCATCCTGATTTCAAGCACTTATATAATCTGAGTTGTGTACACCAGTCCTAACATGTGCTCAGTGAAGTTTGTTACAGCAGCATTGGATGTGGTCACAATCTACCCTTATTTTAAACAGTCAGTGGCGTCATTCAGGTTGCTTTCTGAGACGTAAACAAGCTTGCACATTTTACTTCCTCTTCTAGCTGCACAAGTCCACAGTTATCAGCAGGATTGCTGGGCAATAAGGTAAGGCTGTTTTTCAAGCTCTGACTGCATGTATTAAAGCAAAAACGAATGAACCTGCACTGTTGGAATATGCTACATTAAAATAATGCTTTTCTTGTGCTTTTCATTGTGGTCATTCCCTTGTCAAAGCAGGAAAATTAGAATGAGAAAATCTTGTTGTAGCGCTCTTTGTTTTACTAACTTTATATTGTAAAAAAAATTTGCAGCGAGTGTTTTCTCAAGATAGCTTTTCCATCAAGATAAAGATACAGACAGAGAATGCAGAAGCACAGACAAAAGCAGTATGATGATTTGATCTGTTCGCCCGCCAAATTTTTGCAAGCATGAAAGAGCTAAAGTAGTAGCTGTAATAAACCACTGGTGCCTGAGAGAGTGAAATTTTATGCTTTTGCAGTTAATAGTATCTTAATTACTATCAAATGTTGTTACAAGAGGTCATTTTGTTCTGTGGTGTAATTTCTGAGTCAAAATCAGTACAAATCTTTTATTTTTAAATTGTATTTGATGGTAACGGAAATTCCAGCAGACCGCTATTTTAATCTAGCGAAGGATTTTTATTAGAATCAAAAGATTCCTTGTTCTAGCTGTTGTTTATATGTAATCTATGATGCTTTGTAATTAAATTGTGAGAGCAGAATGATAATATTCCTTTGAGCTGGGTGATGGAAAACACAATGTGACAAAAGTCTAAAGGGTGGGACGCAATGTTCTCAGAGACTATCAGGCAATTGCCACTGATATGAAAACTGCAGCATGGATTAGGATTGCAATTATTAAACTGGATTAGACATAGCTTGATCTCTGATGGATGCATTTAAATCACGCTTTCTAAAGCTTCTTTACTTAAGACTCCTTAATACTCTGGCAATCGCTCAAACAGGTGGCTAGAGATCGGAGGGAATGTAATAGTGCAATCCCCTGTCAAGTGGCTGGTGACTAAGTTTGTGTATCCTGAAGGTAACTACAAACAAAACTCAGCAGCACACTGGGTTCCAAAACTAAGTAAATGAAAAGGGAATTCCTCTTTTGGTGAGTCAGTTAGCATGCAAAGCCAGTTTTGCCACAGACTCGAGTGGAAGAGACCTTTAGCTTTCGCATGAGATTTTAGCATATAAAATAAGGATGTTGGGTTTTTCTTTTTAAAAGGCATAAAGCAGTGGTTCTCAACCTGTGGCCCAATCGGCTCAGAGCTGCGCCCACGTAGGGTGACCAGATGTCTTGATTTTATAGGGACAGTCCCAATTTTGGGGTCTTTTTCTTATATAGGCTCCATTACCCCCTACCCCCATCCTGATTTTTCATACTTGCTGTCTGGTCACCCTAGGCCCATGTGAAATCCTCAGGGCCATACTGGTAGTATTGGATGTGGCCCACATAACACATTGTGGCCCACAATAATAAATAGGTTGAGACTCACTGGCATAAAGGCTATTGTCGAAATGTGGTCCAATGGATGGTGCTCAGAGCTTTAATCCTGTCAGAGCAAATGGGCCAAATTCATCCCTGGTGTAACTCCATTTCATACCAATGATGAATTTGTCCCAGCATGGTAGAAGTGTTATGGCAAGGTATCTGGGAAGGTGTGTGCACTTGTATTGGTGCTGAGGGGACAGTAGCACAAACTTTTCCCTATCAGTATGAGTGTCCAGTGGAATATTGGAGATACAGGATTGATGAGGTAATATCTTTTATTGGACCAAGTTCTGTTGATGAAAGAGACAAGTTTTCGAACTACACAGAGCTCTTCTCCAGGTCTGGGAAAGGTACTCCTTGTGTCACAGCAAAATGCCAAGTGGATCAGATTGTTTAGCATAAGTAGTTTGCACATATTGTAAGGGACCAAACAAGGTAGGAGTAGTCCCTTAACAATGGGGGTAAAAACCTAACTGGCTCCAAGACTGATCTTGATAAGTTTATTGAGGGGGTTGGTATGATGACACTGCCTACAATGGTATGTAGCCGGTCTGTGACTGCTAGTAGCAAATATCCTCCAACATCCAGTGCTGGGAAACTAGATGGGGAGGGCTGTGACGCTCTGTACCTTGGGGGAACACCATGTACTCCCATGTTCATCCTTATAATATGATTATGTGGTATCCAATGCAAAGTTTGTCATGTCGGGTGTCTTCAGAAGGCTCATGATGCACTGAGCATTGTTGTTATAGTAATCTTATCAGTTGTAATTTCATATATATAGTTATGAGGCTGAAAATGTGTCCTCATTGTTTAAAACAAGCTCAGGCAAACTCTCCAAGAGCAGAGGGGCAGTTCACACCTCATCAGGGCATTTTTGGGACAAACCCAGCCCAGCCTCACAGGAACAAAGTACACTGACCTAGGCAACAACAAAGGATCTGTTGGACTCTCGAGTGAGTCACCCTCCCCCCTTCTCTTGGTCAGTTTGGGACTACAATGAGGTAATGCTCACCTGACTATGAAGGGGGGGGGCAAAGCCAAGAGGGAAGAAAGGATATGATAAAAGGGAGAGACATTTGCCATGCTCTCTCTCTCTCTCTCTTCTACCCCCATCTACATCACCACCACTAAGCGAATGAAGCGCTAATCAAAGGCGAGTGCCTGGCTGAAAGGCAACCAGCCAACCTGTGGTGAGAAGCAGCTAAGTTTGTAAGGGCACTGAAAGTGTTAAGATCAGCTTAGAAGGCGTTTTGCTTTCATTTCATTGACCAAACCTGACTTTCACTTAAAATCTATCTTTTGTAGTTAATAAATTTGTTTGTTTATTCTACCTGAAGCAGTGCATTTGGTTTGAAGCGTGTCAGAGACTCCCCTTGGGATAACAAGCCTGGTACATATCAATTTATTTGTTAAATTGATGAACTCATATAAGCTTGCAGTGTCCAGTGGGCATAACTGGACACTGCAAGATGGAGGTTGTGTCTGGGACTGGATATATTGGCTAGTGTCATTTGGTTGCACAATCCAAGCAGCTTACATGCTAGAGGCTGTGCGTGAACAACCCAGGAGTGCGGATTCTCAAAGCAGAGCAGGGTAAGGCTGGCTCCCAGAGTCGAGGATTGGAGTGAGCTAGCAGATCACTGGTCCAGAGTTATTTGGAACCAGGGGAACATCACAAGGGCTCTGAGTTATTACAGACAATTCTTTCCCAGGTGACTGGCTGGAGGAGCTTGCTGAAATGCTCAGGGTCCAACAGATCACCATATTCAGGGCTGAGAAGGAATTTTCCTCCGGAGTCAGATTGGCAGAGACCCTGGGGTGGAGGTCACCTTTTACTGTAACATGGAGCATGGGACACTTGCAGGTTTAAACTAGTGTAGATGGTGGATTCTCTGTAAGTTGAAGTCTTTAAATCATGATTTGAGGACTTCAGTAACTCAGTCAGAGGTTATAGGTCTATTACAGGAGTGGGTGGGTGAGTTCTATGGCCTGCAATGTGCAGGAGGCCGACTAGATGAACATGATCATAGAAGATTAGGGTTGGAAGAGACCTCAGGAGATCATCTAGTCCAGGAGTTGGCAACCTTTCAGAAGTGGTGTGCCGAGTCTTCGTTTATTCATTCTAATTTAAGGTTTCACGTGCCAGTAATACGTTTTAACATTTTTAGAAGGTCTCTTTCAATAAGTATATAATATACAACTAAACTATTGTATGTAAAGTAAATAAGGTTTTTAAAATGTTTAAGAAGCGTCATTTAAAATTAAATTAAAATGCGGAGCCCCCCGGACCGGTGGCCAGGACCCGGGCAGTGTGAGTGCCACTGAAAATCAGTTTGTGTGCCGTCTTTGGCACACGTGCCATAGGTTGCCTACCCCGATCTAGTCCAACCCCCTGCTCAAAGCAGGACCAACACCAACTAAATCAACTCAGCCAGGGCTTTGTCAAGCCGGGCCTTAAAAAACTCTAAGGATGGAGATTCCACCACCTCCCTAGGTAACTCATTCCAGTGCTTCACCACCCTCCTAGTGAAATAGTTTTTCCTAATATCCAACCTAGACCTCCCTCACTGCAACTTGAGACCATTGCTCCTTGTTCTGTCATCTGCCACCACTGAGAACAGCCGAGCTCCATCCTTTTGGGAACTCCCATTCAGGTAGTTGAAGACTGCTATCAAATCCCCCTTCACTCTTCTCTTCTGCAGACTAAATAACCCCAGTTCCCTCAGCCTCCCCTCATGTGCCCTAGCCCCCTAATCATTTTCGTTGCCCTCTGCTGGACTCTCTCCAATTTGTCCACATCCCTTCTGTACTGGGGGGCCCAAAACTGGATGCAATACTCCAGATGTGGCCTCACCAGTGCTGAATAGAGGGGAATAATCACTTCTGCTCCTACTAATGCATCCCAATATGCCATTAGCCTTCTTGGCAACAAGGGCATACTGCTGACTCATATCCAGCTCCTTGTCCACTGTAATCCCCAGGTCCTTTTCTGCAGAACTGCCACTTAGGCAGTCAGTCCCTAGTCTGTAGCAGTGCCTGGGATTCTTCCGTCCTACATGCAGGACTCTGCACTTGTCCTTGTTGAACCTCATCAGATTTCTTTTGGCCCAATCCTCCAATTTGTCTATGTCACTCTGGACCCTATCCCTATCCTCCAGTTTATCTACCTCTCCCCCCAGCTTAGTGTCATCCGCAAACTTGCTGAGGGTGCAATCCATCCCATCATCCAGATCGTTAATGAAGATGTTGAACAAAACTGGCCTCAGGACTGACCCCTGGGGCACTCCGCTTGATACTGGCTGCCAACTAGACATCGAGCCATTGATCATTAGCCGTTGAACCTGATGATCTAGCCAGCTTTCTATCCACCTTATAGTTCATTCATCCAATCCATTCGTCTTTAATTTGCTGGCAAGAATACTGTGGGAGACCGTATCAAAAGCTTTGCTAAAGTCAAGGTATATCATGTCCACCACTTTCCCCATATCCACAGAGCCAGTTATCTCATCATAGAAAGCAATCAGGTTGGTCAGGCAAGACTTGCCCTTGGTGAATCCATGTTGACTGTTCCTGATCACCTTCCTCTTCTCCAAGTGCTTCAAAATGGATTCCTTGAGGACCATGTTCCTTCTTCCTTTTTTAAAGATGGGCACTATATTTGCCTTCTTCCAATTGTCCAGGACCTCCCCCTATTGCCATGAGTTTTCAAAGATAATGGCCAATGGCTCTGCAATCACATCAGCCAACTCCCTCAGCACCCTCGGATGCATTGCATCCACCCCATGGACTTGTGTATGTCCAGCTTTTCTAAATAGTCCTTAACCTGTTCCTTTACCACTGAGGGCTGCTCACCTCCTCCCCATACTGTGGGTCCCTTCTGGCATTAAAGTCTATGAGTTATTAGTCTCCCTAATTTCCTGGGACCAACACTGCTACAACTACACTGCGTAGTGAAATAATGGAATACATTAGTGGACATTTGATTCATATTGACACTTGTGACCTGGGTCCTAGTGGGCAGCCAGCTGTGGTCACTCAATTAGGGTGAACTGCAAAGAATGTGGCAGACAATCCCCATAAAGCTGGGGGACATTCCAATACTTAGATTTACCAAGCCAGCATAAAACAGCTTCTTTATTACCTTACTGGTTACTCAGAAGTCCAAACAACACAGTTCCCTTAAAGTGATCCAGCCTCAGGCCTCCATCCAACCCCCATCAAGTATGATGAAAATTTCTGTAAATCTTATGTCATCATATAAAAGAAAAGGTTCTATCAATCCCAAAGGATCAGACACATTATTGAATGTTTCAGATCTTACCCAAATACACGCTCCAGCCAATTCTTATTAACTAAACTAAAATTTATAGAGAGTATGATTAAAAGCTCAATATACCTACAGACATGAGTTCAATTAATTGAGGTTCAGATTCATAGCAGAGATGGTGAGCTTTGTAGTTGCAAAGAGTTCTTTCAGAAATAGTTCATAGGTTATCGTCCAATGTCCAAATATCATATTCAGGGCGTACCAGCATAACTGGGACTCAGTCTTGCTACTCAAACTTCCCCTGATGAAGCTTAAGCAGATCTGAGATGACAGAATCAGGATCCAAGGATCTTTTTATACCGTGTTCTAGCATCCACTTGACCACACAGTCCTGGTTAAACGATAGGCTTTTGATGTAAACTTTTGCTTTCTAAACACCACCAGTAATTCATTACACAAATTAACATAGGGCAATTTATCCATTAGGCAGTCTATTACAAACTTCAAAGAGACATATCAACAATGACATCATTTTGCCCAAGATTCATCCAAATATTAATATTCCCTTTTGATCTCTGAATCAATAGTTATAGTGACAGGCAGGAACTGTCTGTTTACAGGTAATATCTAAGATACACACAATTAGTATTACTTCTAACAATATAGGTTTGCATTTCAAAGTTCTAGATTATTTAGCATGAATGGCCCTAATTATCATTTGCATACCTTTCTAACATGACTTTAAAGGTGAGCTTTGGGTCATTCAGCCTACAAGCTGTTTAACCCTTTCTAGCCATGCATCACAACTCTGTAAGACATACATATTTATCACAGCTAAGAAGCTGTGAGCAGCATTCAGCCAGAGAAGCCTCCCTTTTGATTCAACTGTAGAGCTTTTCACTGCTGACGGTGAGGGTTTCAGTTTTCATTGTGACTCCAGCAACGTGCAAGATACAGGAACACTCAGAGAGGAGTGATTCTAGAGGGAGGATTTTGCAACATAGTTAAACCAGTTATAGTGTCTGGTCACCACTTGATGGGCACAATAAAAAAACAGTAGGGCCAAGGAATGACAGTCCTACACTTGTTGGTCTCAGTTTGAGCATTCCTTTCTTGATATTGCCATGGAAATAATATTTTGCAGCCTTCCATCTACGAGTAACCAAGTAATAGTGTGCACCAGTACAGACCGTTTCTTTCCTTGTTACCACAGTCTTACAAATGCAAATCAATTAAGCAAACATCAATATTGTATTTATTCATTATTGGTTTTATTGAAATGGCATGTTCTGAAGAAAATGATCCAGTAGGAATTTGTTTTCGCAGAGGCTTTCACTGTCCATTTGTGACTTCCAAACTACTGTGATATGTCTTCTCTATATGGGAAAAAAGATAATTGAATGGAATATGTTAGCTTGCCACCTGTGCTATGCAACATGCTTTTGGTGCCCTTGCTTTGTCAGTAGCTTTGCAGTAAGGGTCCAGTCCTGCCAGGTGTTGAGCAGGATCCTTCTGTATTTTAGCTTAGAGGATAGTTTTATCATGTTTTAAATAAAGTGATTAATTATTGGCAAGCCTAGTGAATTGGTGGGTGAGAATGCTCTGTACTTGAGCATTGTTATTATATAAATGTTACTCATAATTTTGCACTCCCAGTCATTTCACACTCTTTAGTCCATATTTCATCATATAGAGCCTGACCCAGAGCCCACTGAAATCAATAAAGAGCCTTTTACAGGCCCATCATTCAATTGCTAATTTAATACAGATGTTTAATTTTTATTTTTTGTCAACCACATTTTAAGGGTATTTTTGTAACCATGTGGCTGTGCCCACAATGATTCTGAACAGCTATCTTTGTTTAATTTCCCTAGATCAGGACTTTCCCCTAACTATAACATCAAAAAGTTAGGGGATTTTTCTCTGAAATTATTCTGCTATCAATTGTCTAAAATCAGAACACAAACTTTTCAATTTGAGATAATCCCAGAAGACATCAAGACACACAAAACCATAAAACATAATTTAAAAATAATCATACCATATCTATCCAGGTGTCTATGTGGCCCTCAACGCCATAGCATGTATTTCAACACCTTATTTTCTCTTAGCAGGGTTAGAAATCTCTCTCTAAAGAAAAGGCAAAAAGAAATGAAACATTGTCTAAATCTGACACCTTGTGGCCAATTAAAGAACAGATTATAGGACGAGATGAAAACTATGGCACAAAAATTCCGTTATTCTCTAACCATCAGCAATGCTAGACCTGCATCATTCTGCACCTATATCTTTTCTCTGAGAAAACATGATTCTACACAGCCAAGAAGCAACTCAAACAGTGAGAAAACCTTTGAGGGATAGGTATTTCCTCATGTCTGGAATGCTTGTAAGAAGGTATACTTTGCCATTAGAAAATGAAGGCTGCGTTGCTGGAAATCACTTGTGTGCAGACAATGCTTTACTGAAGCAGGGATGATAATATGTTATCTCAACTGCTTATTTAATACATGGGTTCTTTTTAAGACCTGCAGTAGGAGTGGTCTCACTGGTGAGCCAGAAGGCTGTGCTTGATTACATCAAAAGTGCTTATGAACTCTAATTCCTTAGTTATTACATAAAATCTAATAAAGGCTAACTGCACCTAGGGGCATCTGCATGCAAAGGGACTGAAACAGAAATATCCCATTTTGATTTAATTTCAGGTCAATGGAATTGAAATTCATGTAAGAACAGCAGTCCATGGGCCAGATTGCTAAAGGTATTTAGATGCCTAAAGACACAGAGGTTAGTGGTATTTTCAAAAAAGGCCTAACTCCCACTGATCTCAGTCAGCCATTTCAGAGGGCTGTTTATTGGGTGGGGTATAGGTGGGTGGCTGTCAGTGCTATATGGCGTTAGTCTGTTGCTGGGCTACTCTTTAAGGAGAAAAGAAAAGCCAGAGGAATAGAAACACGTTTCAAACGAAGGGCAAAAAAGAGAGTGAGCAACAACTGCTGCTCTCAGGGCCTGCTGGCATAGAAATGGGTGGTCATAGGCACTGTTAGCATAAGCAGGCCAATGATTACACCAGTGGTGAATTTGGACCATACCCTGTGGTAGACCATATGCTTCTTAGTCATGTATGAGTAACATGCTACAAGTTACCAGGCCAGCATCTACTTACAGAGACACTTTTGCTGGCAGATGCCTCCTGTAGGTGGTACTTTGCAGAAAATGAGTCATTTGCAGTGAATCAGTATCTCCGATGCTATATCCTCACAGTAAAACTCCCTGCAGGGAACTAAAATGGAGAAAATGTCCTCACAGAATCCCTCCACCATCATTCTATTGGGATGCCCACCTCTATACCTAGAAGATCCAATGGATTCTCGTGGATCATAGGGGAATGGGAATCAGCAGAAGGCCTGCAACTGCCATGCAGAAAGTCTGTGCTTTCATACTGGCTCTGTGCCTCTGGTGCTCCTCACTCTCTGGCAAAAGGGAGACAATAAAATCCTGCTGCCAGGGACTTCCCTGAATGGAGCCATGGAAGGAATGTAGAAAAGCAGCTGGGAATCTCATCCCTTTCTTCAGCCACTGTGTGACATTTACATGAAAACAGGAACCCAGTCTTCATTTTTACCCTTACATTGGATGAGCTGGTAAATCAAGCTCACCCAGGATTTTGAGTACAGGAATATCCCCAAACTGAACTTTTCTTGCCTGTATTACCCCCTCTGAGGAGAAATCCTAGTCTGGTTTAAAGAAGGAAAAATACACCTAATTTAACAGTTTAATTGGAAGTTCCTCACCCCACCCTGGTCAGTCTGCAGTTTGAATCAAAGGAGAGTCTGAAAAAGGAAAATATCACCTCAAAATTAAACTGCTCAATTAAAAATGATGGCCCAGGTTTGTGTTGGGGTGGTAGGGAGACCCAGGATGACCACATTTTAAGTGTAGCTCAGTGTGTTTGGTGAGCAATAAGAAAGTAAATTCCATTTGTCTAGCCCAGACTGCAGGTTATCCTGGGCTGTCAAAGACAGGGATTTTTTCTAGGCTGGGTGGAAATCAATCCCTTCTTCATTGATGGCTACAACTTTGTCAGAGTCCCATACTGCTTCAGTGACATGGACCTGGCTCACTTTGAGAAGAATGATTAAGTGGTTAGGGCGCTAGACTGATACTTGCAGTACTTAATTTGTGCCAGGGCTGAGCCCCGGCACCTCTGGGCTCGGCAGTTCCTAGTCCTGGCACCTCTGGGCTCGGCTGTTCCTAGCCCCGGCACCTCTCGGCTCGGCTGTTCCTAGCCCCGGCACCTCTTGGCTTGCCACATCAGTTATGACAGTAAAAAATTGCTTGAGCTCCGGCACATCTTTCATTACAAATTAAGCACTGGATACTTGGGACATGCAACTTTAATTCTTTGATCAGACTTCCTGTGTGACACCGGCTAAGTTGCTTAGTCTTACTGTGCCTCACTTCCCCAGCTGTAAAGTGGAGGTAACAGCGCTGCCCTGGCTCACCAGAGCATTGTCAGGATAACTACATTATTGACTGTAAGATGCTCAGATACTATGGTAATGGGGACCAGGTACATACCTTCGATAGAGGGAAACAGTCTTTGAGGTTTCATAACCCCCAAAGTATCTTACTGCTTGTGAAAAAGCATTGAAGAGTGAGAAGGAGATTTACAGAGGACATGTTGTAGGCTCTACATTTTACTAAATGTAATAATGTAAGTAATGCATGTAGTACATGTGATGCAAATATTAATATTGATCAATCTTGCATTGTCTTTGCCTTTACAGCAATTGTTTTGGGAGGCACCAGGGCTTAGTGGCTAGAGCACTAGACTGAGACTCAGGAGATCTGGGTTCCATTCCAGACTCTGCCAGTGGCCGGCTAGGAGACCGTAGGAAAGTCACTTTTACCTCCCTGAGCCTCAGTTTCCCAATGTGCAAAATGGGGATCATGATCTACTGATGCAAAATGCTATATAAGAGCTAGATGTTATGATTATCTTTTTACTCTTTACAGAAATCTTCCATCCAGTCCCAAATGATTGCTCAGACACACTCAAGATGCAGAGCAACGGATCTTCAGAAAACTGTGTTGATCCTAATATAACATTTAAAAACTCTCTATACGCAACCACTTACACCATAATATTCATTCCTGGTCTTCTGGCAAACAGTGCTGCATTATGGGTTTTATGTCGCTTCATCAGCAAGAAGAACAAAGCTGTCATTTTTATGATTAATTTGGCTGCAGCCGATCTTGCTCATGTTCTGTCGTTACCGCTACGAATATATTATTATATAAACCACACGTGGCCTTTTGGGAGATTCCTCTGCTTGTTATGTTTCTACCTGAAGTATCTCAACATGTACGCAAGCATTTGTTTCCTTACCTGCATAAGTATTCAAAGGTACTACTTCCTCCTCCATCCATTCAAAGCCAAAGACTGGAAGCGCAGGTATGACGTCACCATTAGTGCTGTGGTATGGATTGTGGTTGGGGCTGCTTGCTCACCATTTCCCATTATGAGAAACTCTGACTTAACCAACAATTCAAATTTCTGCTTTGCAGATCTTGGAGTCAGGAAAATTGACAGTAAGACAGCTTCTGTGATTATGGTAACGATAGCTGAGCTTTTAGGATTTGTGGGCCCTCTAATTATTATTGTATACTGTACCTGGAAAACAAAAGAGTCGCTTCAGAAATACGAAATGCCTTTGCAAAATACCAGTGAAAAACGGAGAGCTTTACGCATGGTTTCTATGTGTGCAGCTGTGTTCTTTGTGTGTTTCACACCGTATCACATAAACTTCTTCTTCTACATGATGGTGAAAGAGAATGTTATTACACACTGCGCCATACGCCGAAGCACTCTTTACTCTCAGCCCTTTTGCTTAAGCCTGGCAAGCCTGGACTGTTGTTTGGATCCAATCCTGTACTTCTTTACAACAGCAGAATTTCAGGATCAGTTATCAAGACACAGCAGCGCAATCATCAGGAGTCGCCTGATGAGCAAGGAGAGCGCCTCGTCGATTAAGGAATAAAAACCATGAGCATTTTTTTTAACCTTATTACATATGAAATCTTGGACTGCTCTATAACTCTGTAGTCAAATAGGTAGAATAGAAACACCTGCAGCTTTATTTGATGGGGTTTGTGATGCTGAAAGCCTTTTGAAATATAGAAAACAATGTTCATTTAAAATCAGCAGTCAAATGGTATAGGTGTTTGAGACTGGAGAACCCCTGACTGGAGTGAACTGGTGGAGTGCCTCACCTGATCTACCTGAACTAGAAAATACTGTAGGGAACAGTGCTGCCTTTGCAGGGAGATGGCCTGAATGGCCTGGTAGCTCTTTCCTAACTTGTGTGGTTCTATGATCAAGCCAAAGACACTCCAAACACCGAGGCCCAATGTGACCTCCTCTCAGCAACTGCTCTTCTGCAACAGAAATACAGCGCAACAGGGGAAATAATTAACAAACAAAACCAAGCACAGAGACACAAAGTGGAGCCTCCTCAGAGTTTGCAGCTTGATTCAATATGGCAACCACATTTCCATAGGTACACAGTTGCCCTTTCTACACTGTGGTGTCGCTAGTGAAAATCCTGTACTGCTAGGGCCTGCTGTTGGCACTAAGCATATTGTGTTATTCACAACACATTTCTATCTCTATTTCACATTTTCTTTCCATCTTTTCTTGTTCTCTCCTTCCATTTCTTTATATCCTTCTCTTCCTCCATCTCAAACATTTTCTCCTTAGTCACACGTAGGTGTCTGGATATCCTCCTCCCACCTCCCGCCCCTGCCTGCCCTCAGCAGCCTGTGCTACAACAGAGGTCAGGACTCGGTGACTAAGTTTTTCAGCTGACCTCCACAAACAGTGCGGCCTGTACATCAAAGAGTGGGCTCTTCACCTGCTGCCAGCTGCCTCCTCCTCAGCTGCGCACTGTCAAAGTGTGCTATATGGTGCAGGACCGTCACATCAGGACTGCAGGCCCCATCGTTCCTTGCTGCACATGGCCCTCTTCCGTTAAGCGCTTTGCAGTTCATCCATGCAGTAAAAGGATTGATTTAGTAAATTCAACTAACAAATAAATTAGCAGAAAGAGTGATCTACCCACAATCGTTCCACTAGTTGAAAAAAAAAGAAGAGAGAGGCCTAATTAATTGAGTAAATTATTAATAATTCCCTCCGCTCTAATGGTGACCTCAATTTGTGTACCCCCATAAATACATTAGCTATTAAAACATTCAAGCAAACTGCAAAGTATTATTTCACAGAACGCAGAAATTAGCACACTAAAAATGAGTCAAATTCATCCTAGAGTAACTCCACTGATTTCAGTGGTCTTATACCTGGGATTGATTTGGTCAGATGTGTGTGTACTAATTTATCCACTTTGAATGAATTTTAAGACAAAAATTGTCATTAAGTAGCAGCAACAGCATCTACATCTTGCAAAAGTAAGCCTTATGTGTAGCTATAAAACGCAAACAAAAGTAGCTGAAACACTTAAGTGTAACTACCTGAATTTCATGTTATTACTTTTTGGCCCAGCCAAAAATGCCTTTCCATTTAGTGTCTCCCAGGTTTAAGGGGGCTGGGGGTGGGAATATCGCTTGGGTTTAAATAATGATTACATTGGGTATTATCTTTAATGGCAAATGATTACATTATATTGACAATAAGCTAGGTAGCTCAACTACCATTTTTTAAAGCTAAATGTTATAGTTTATATACATGCAGCTGTTTTTAAAGGGATATTTCAGTGTTCACAAGTGTAACAAGGGAATATATTTTAATTAAAGGAATTAGTCCTAGCTTCTTTAGCTTCTTAGTGACAAAGTTGTTCAATAAGTAACCACTGCAATGCCTACTGAAATCAGGGGAAAGACTCCCATTGCCTTAACTAGACACTAGGGTTACCATTCGTCCGG